GCACCAGCATGAATTCCAAGTGGATCAAAGACTTCAATGTAAGGCCAGAAACCATGAAAATAGTGTTGGGTGTTAATACTGTTCTTTATTAACTTCATACTGTATATACACATATGAGCTCTTCTGGATCATCCCGAGAAAGATTTCTTTTAGTTATAGCAAATATTGTTCCCTCCCCCATTTGCTTTGCCCAAAGATACTCCTAAGATGACATGCTAAAGACTGATGAAAATTTTCCTGCCTGAGTAGCTATTGGGTACTTCATAGGCAAGAGACTAGGAATTTTTTCTCTATATATAAAGGAAAAAGAAACAGCTATCATCAACCATTGAAAGATTCTCCTTGGAAACATAATGGGCCTGAGTCTAACTCTTAACTTCTTGAGGAGCCAGTTAGCTGCCTGCTGTGTCTTGGGTTTTACAACCAAGCAATATTCCCAAGGTCTCAGCTTCATATTTTTTAAGTGTAATTACCTAGAAAGATAGCAACTCCGGTCGTTCTGACAACTTGGAGCTTAACCTATGAGCCTATTCTGGGCCTTAACTACTTGGCTTAACTACTTCTCTTGGATCACAGAAATTTGAGAAATTAACTGGACAAATGGCTACAGGTCTAATTTGCATAGTGTGAGAATGTTCTCAGCAGGCTAGAGCTTTTTATAGATGCACTGAGAAACCCAGAGAAATTTATTTCTTCACATTTTATTTCATTGTACCTAGCACTCACTGGTCTACTCAGTCTAAATATTAAGAGTCCTCCTTGTTTCTTAATTCCTTCCTTTCTCTTAACCCCAGCATCTGTTCAGTCACCAAATCCTCATGTCTCAAACTTCTAAGCATTTCACTAATTTATTCCTATCTTTTCTTCTTGGTAGTGTGGCTCTGGGTCAGAGCCTCATAATCTTTCATTAGATTGTGTATATGCCTCCAATTATAAGTGGAATTCCAATTCTACCTTTTTCAGATGCTGTCTACAATAGTCCCACTTTATCCATGCAAAATATATTCTGAGACCCTCAAGTGCATGAGCCTGCAAATAGCAATTATCCCTTTACATACTATATTTTTCCTATACATAAATACTTATAATATAGTTTGTTATAAATTATACACTGCAAGAGATGAACAACTATCATTTTAGCCGCCTCAGTGCACAGCTTTTTTAATTTTTTTCTAAAGTTGAGAATTTTCATCTATCCACTTAAAGGAAATGTTCCTATGAATTGTCTTTGGTTTGTACAAATTGTTAGCATTGCCACTCTTGCTCTGTTGGGCTATTACTAAATAAGGATTATTTGAACCAAAGCACAGTAATAATGTAGCAGTCCATCTGCAAATCAAGAGAGTTCCTAAGTTACTAAGAAGAATATATGATACGGATGTACTGGAGACATTCCAGATAGGAGTGAGCAGAGCTGAATACTGTTTCATCATGCTATTCTGAACAATTCACAATTTAAATTTTATGAATTGCTTGTATCTGTAATTATCCAGTTATTATTTTCAGATCATGGTTTACTATAAGTAAACAGTGGGAAGGGAAACCATGGGTAAAGTGGGAGGGGAAATCTACAGTAAGTCTACTTTGTGAATTTATTACATATGGTTTCAGTCAAGTATAAGCAAATGTCATCAAGTAACAAATTCTATGTATTTCCTGCAAAATTAAGCAAGTGAAAGAAGAAGTGATTTCAGAAGGATGGTTGAAAATGATAGAAGGGGTAAGATTGATCAACACTCATTGTATCCATAAACTGCATTGTTAAATGAGAACTCTTTTGTATAACTACTTAAAGATAATAAAATATTTTTTAAAAATATAAAATTCTGCCAGGCACCAGTGATTCACACCTGTAATCCTAGCTACTCAGGAGGTTGAGATTTGAGAATCTCCTTTGAAACCAGCCCAAGCAGGAAGTCTGTGAAACTCTTATCTCCAATTAGCCATCAAAAAAATAAGCCCGAAGTAGAACTGTGGCTCAAGTATTAAGAGTGCCAGCCTTGAGCTGAAAGGTTCAGGGACAGTACCCAGACTCTAAGTTCAAGCCCAAGGACTAGCACAATAAAATAAATAAATAAATAAATAAATCTTAAAGAAGAGATTGCAAAAACAAATTTCTTTAACTCTCACCTATGCTTTATGCAGTTAATTTGATGCAGAGAAACTTTCTATCGGCCCTGCCTTATTATCAGTTGTGTTTAAGTCTTTGTGTGGAGGTTGAGTATTTTCCTGGTCTTAATTTGGTGAAAATGTGACTCCTCAAAAAGTTGAATCTGTTCATTTACATGATAAAGTGAAGATGTGGGATTTGTTGAATGTCCTGAGCAGATGTTGGGTAGTGTTATGGGAAAAGTGAGTCAAGCATCCACAGTACAATACTGAACTCGGTGCATCCTGAGCATCCCTGGTTTTTCAGCAGCAGTCTCGGTGGAGCCATACACCTATGAATACTAATGATCTGTGTTTGAAACCCACACATGCCTGTGCTACTCCACTGGTTAAATCCATTCAAAGATTCCTCATTACCAAAAAGAAATGGTTCGAACTTTTTAGCTGCCCATAGATGGGCTGTATTTCATACATCTTGTCTCAAATTCTACTTTAAAGCTCTAATAAATTTCCAGATAATGATAGTGTCTTGCTTCATCTATGCATATGTTCCCTCATTGTTCTTTAGTTCTAGAAATATGAGCCTGCTTAAAGATACTGATTATAGATACATGCAATATGGTGCTATATCCAAGTCCTAGACTTGCATTTTCTTCTTGCAGTGTCCTCTAACCCATTGTTCCCTGACTAACTCATATTGGTGCTTTAGAACTCTGTGTGATAACCATCTTCTTTTAGAAGTCTTTCCCAGTTTGTGTGCACCAATACTACTTTCTACAATCTACTGTAATGATTTATATATTTGACTCCTCCATTGTATATAAAAGAGGCAACTTTGTATTCAACCTTATATTTCCAGTCTTTCATATAACTACTGGTACACAGAAGTTCAATACTGTTATCAGTTATCATTTTTGTCCATATCATTTGCCTCTTGTCCAAATGGAAAGACTAGGCAAAATGATTATTTCCTTGAAGTTGGTAACATTAAGTACATGAAAAAATACAGGAATACAAGTATATACGAATACAGATGCACAAGTGCACACATATATATTTACATATTTATGCAGATGTCAAATGAAATATTAGAGATCAAATCAGCATACTGTGTAAGCAAAATAAATAGTCCACCTGCCCTGTATGATTTCAAGGACATAAGAATATCCCACAATATGGGCTGGGAAGGTGGCTCAGTGGTAGAGTGCTTGCCTTGCATACATGAGGCCCTGGGTTCGATTCCTCAGCACCACAGAAGCAGAAAAAGCCGGAAGTGGTCCTGTGGCTTGGGCTGAAGAGCCTAGGGACGGCACCCAGGCTCAGAGTTCAGGCCTATGACCAACCAAAACAAACAAACAAACAAAGAATATCCTACAATATAGAAATCACTCGCCCTTCCTCAGGCTGAGTTCTCATATTCCCCCTAGAGAACTCCATTATACTAGATCAAACACCTTGTCTTTCTCTACTGAATTGTAAATAACTATGGAAGATGAATCATTTCACAAAGTATCAATGTGCAACAATAATGTGCTAAAATAACAATGTGCTAAAAATAAAACCATTGAAAAGCATACTTAAGCTCTAGATCAGAGCTATAATTATTGTTTATATACTATCACTTATATAGTATTTAATTTTTATTCACATGTTTACTTTTAAGATCACAGACTCTGGATCAATAACTATCTTTAATGCTTTCAGAGCATCTGTTCCTCTTGCCTTCACAACATGCCCCACTGCCTTAGTACTTGATTATATATGAATTTACAGTTGTCAGTCTGCTTCAAACATTTCCCCTTTATGTTGTTTTTTTTTTAATTTTGTTTTGTTTTTTTCAGTACTGGTATTTTCCCCCAGGGCCTCACACATGCCAGGCAAGTGCTTTACCTCTGAGCTGTACCTCAAAACTATATTTTCTTTTTTGTTTTGGTCCAGTAATTTCTTTCATTTAATCATATTAAGATTTGAACTCAAAGCCTCCTGTTTGCTAAACAGACACTCTAACTATTGATCTACACCCCCAGTCTGTGTATTTTTAGTTCTTTTTTTTAAAAAAACTAAGTTTTCACATTTATGCCTGTGCTGCCCTAGACTCGATCATCTTGAGTAATTGCAACTATGATCCAGTAGCTTCTTGGAGACAAAGACTATACATTTTGTTTACTCTTAATTTTCTATATCAAATAAGGTTACAAGTTAGAGATTAAAATGATCAATTCACCTAAATGTTCCTATTATTCTATATCTATTTGTTCATAGTAATGGGTTCTCTAAATTCCCGTACCCATAATAGTTTAAAACATTTCTGCTCTTCTCCAGGAAATCACAATGTATAATAGAATGGCTATTTTTCAAAAGTATTAACACGTTTTACTTAGCTTACTTCTAATACATTATTCACTTTTACACATTTTGACAAAACTAACTGGCGATTACAAAGTGGGTTGTCGATTTCTATAGAGCCTAAGTTCCTTTATTTTGTTTACATTATGTTTTTTTTAATATTATGTTTTAGATGTCCACTACTTTTGTGCGTTTAAAACTTTATTAGCCATGCTAGGGCTTTACAGTCTATACCTAGCTTGTAACTTTAGTTCTAGATTTCAAGTTTCACTTTCAGGTCAAACAAACAAAAGTCTTCCTATCTTAATGAGAGGGCATCACCTATCTTGAAATCCCCTTTCTCTCTCAATGGCTTTACAAACAGTCATTCCTCATTAACAGAAAGACCTAGTCTAGCCTTCTTTATTGTTTTATTACTGTCAGTTTATAAATAATGAGATAGAAATTGACCTGAGAGTTTCATAAACAAGTTGTGAGCACCCAGGATTAATTTTGAGAAGAGTGCCATAAGCCAAATAAGCATTTCTTTTCATCTCATTTCACAGGCCTTCAAGAGGGAATTGAAAACTAAAGAACCTGTAATCATGAGTACTCTGGAGACCGTACGAATCTTTCTGACAGAGCAGCCTTTGGAAGGACTAGAGAAACTCTACCAGGAGCCCAGAGGTAATTGAATGTGGAACTGTAATAACATATTGATAGAAGGATCAGTGGTGACAGAACAGCCCATCCATTCTGGCTGCCAAAGTCTGGAAAGCTCTCATATTTTCTACGTTAAACAGAATCAATTCAAATTAAACATAGACATTGGGAAAGAATAACAAATCATAAACCACCAAGTGTATATCTATTTGCACATTCATATATACGCATTAAAAGAGATTAGCAATCCGCTATCAGACCATTTAGAAAATAATAAACAGAGGAGTTTATCTGTGAGAAGGAAAATTCTATTGTTACAAATACTACAAGGTAATTTTCCATTTAAGAACCTGAATGAAGTAAATTAGAGGTTTTTCTCCTCAATAGCACAAATGAGTCTTGGATTATCTGATTGGTAGCGGGCATAACAGGTTCACTAAAGAAGATGGACTTTAAATATTCAGAACTGTATCCAAATTTATGCCAAACTCTAAAAGACCCATTAATCAGTAGGTCGGCCTCTTGTTAATCTGTACTGTCTTTCTTCCAGTCTGACCTTTTCAACAATGTTTAAAAACAAACAAACAAACATGAATGTGACCTAAAACCTTGTCATATTGCCAATATAGAGCTGCCTCCTGAGGAGAGAGCCCAGAATGTCACTCGGCTTCTACGAAAACAAGCTGAGGAGGTCAACACTGAGTGGGAAAAATTGAACCTGCACTCTGTTGAATGGCAGAGAAAAATAGACGAGGCTCTCGAACGGCTGCAGGAACTTCAGGAGGCTACAGATGAGCTGGACCTCAAACTACGGCAAGCTGAGGTGATCAAGGGATCCTGGCAGCCTGTAGGAGACCTCCTCATTGACTCTCTCCAAGATCACCTTGAAAAAGTCAAGGTACAGTCCACTGATTTGCTCCAAATCCCTTTGGCAAACCCCAAAAGGTTGTTGTCTAAGCTTGAGTGCAGTGTTTTTATCCCACAAAATTGAGAATGGGGCCAAATCAACACATCTTTCACCAATTCACATGAGGGGTTCCCCAAGAGAAGATAGTGGTATAATCATTTGTTTATCTTTAATGACATAGAATGAAATATTTAAAAAGTTATAGCCAGATGTGAATGGCTTGCACCTATAATCCTAGCTACTGAGATCTGAGCATCACAGTTCAAAGCCAGCCCAGGCAGGAAAGTCTGTGAGACTCTTATATCCACCTACCCACAAAAAGACAGAAGTGGAGATAGTAGAGGTGTAGCCCAAGTGATAGAGTGCTAGCTTCGAGGGGGGAAAAAGAAAAGAAAAAGGAAGAAATTAAAACACACACACACAGAGAGAGAGAGAGAGAGAGAGAGAGAGAGAGAGACACAAACACACACACAGGGGCAGTACCTAGGAATTAAGTTCAAGCCCCAGGACTGGCACACCCACAAGCCAGACCCTCCCTGCCCCCAGAAAAAAAAGACTGTTATAAGTCTAAAACTTCATTTTGATTCTGCTATTAGGAAATTAACTTATTTGTACTAAAGTTAGCTGATGTGTATGGATTTGGGCGTTTTTGCTAAGTTGTACTATGTGGATAATTTATAGTACTGTGAAGTTAGACCATCAATCTGCCATTCCCTTGGAAAGCAGGATGTGCAATACAACTTCGTTGTCTTCATTGCAGACATGAGGGGGGAAATCACATATATCTGGAATACAAAGTAAAATTCTCTTGTGGCACAAAGATAATTTGCCAGAAAAGAATATAAGGACAACATTTTGAAGTCAGCAATATGCAACAAGGTTTATTTACTCACCTAATGTCAAAATTCAAATGCAAAAAAAATAAAATTTTCTCACATACTACCATTTTATCTGCCTGGTGAACTCCTACTCGGCCCTCAAGGCCTAAACATAGATGTTAATTATCTTTGTAGTCTTCCCTAAATGTCCACCACCACCCTCCAACTTTCACTAAGCAGAATAGATTGCTCTCAGTTTCATGCTTTCATGGACTATCAAACATACTTTTCATACTTAAATTTTCCATATATTCTAGCTACTTAAAATGGTCTTATCTCAAAGACAGTAAGGTTTGTGAAACGAATTAGCATAATGTACATCTGTAAATTCCCAGCTCCTAGCCTAATGCCAGTAAAATATAAGGAATCACATTTAAGAAGTTTTTTAAATGCTGGTGCCTCACATTTATAATCCTAGTTTCCCATAAAATTGAGACTAGAGGATCAAAGTTGAAGCCAGGCTGGGTAGACGAGTCTATGAGAAGCTTATCTCCAATTAACCAACACAATTCCAGACTGAAGTTATGTTATGGCTCAAGTTGTAGAGCACAACCGTGAGCTATGTAGTTGATTAAGAGTATGAGGCCCAGAGTTCAAGCCCCAGTACTGGAAGAAAAAAAAAGAAGCTTATGAAGCACTATATAGTGTACTAGATATGTAGTTATGGAGGAAACACACGTTAGCTTTCCCTTCACAAGTCCTACAACCTTACATTGAATTGAATAGCTCTTCATTAAAATGATATGTGAATATTCAAAATGGTATGTGAATATTTAAAATAGTTGGTGAATATTTAAAAAGGAAAGGTTAAAGTTTACCTTTATTACTTCTAAATTGCTCTGCATTACAACATTCTATGCCTCATGCCCAAACTTAAAGCAATAGTTAACATTTCTGTTGGCCTGAAAATTAGTATATGTCTTAAAATAGTTCAGCTTGGATGTGTTTAACATTATGCTAATTTCATTTGTAAGTATAGGTTCTGATATTTTTGTCAGTCATGGGGCTTGAACTCAGAGACTGGGTGTTGTCCCTTCACTTTTTTGGTCAAGGCTAGTATTCCACCACTTGAGCCACAGCTCCACTTCTGGTTTTTAAGTGATTAATTGGAGTTGAGTCTCATGGACTTTCCTGCCCCAGCTGACTTTGAACTGCGTTCCTCATATCTCAGTTTCCTGAGTAACTAGAATTACAGGTATGAGCCATTTGCGTCTATCAAGGAAGACATACTTTGTCTTCTCTAAAACTGAAAAAAAAATAAGGTTAGGATAAACAATGTCCTAATTAAAAGTAAACTAGTTAATAAATCAATCAAGTTGTTGAATATACAGGCTCTCCAACAGGCTTAAAGGACAATTTTGTAATCAATCTGTTATAGTAGGAATGTTTGGAATGCACTCAATATAAATGGCGAGTGTATATAGCATGATGAAGTAATTAAAAGTAAAGTGGAACAGTTCAAATATCAGCTCTGACCTCCACCCAATCTACTTTTAGTTTCCCTGTTCTTGATCTTGAAATGAAGTTTATTTCATATATCTTGATTGGATAAGGTCTTCATACTGGTCCCAATAATGGCAAAACATGTAAACATTAATTTTAGCTTTCAAAAAGAGCCTTTATATGACAACACATCTATTATAGACATAAATCATGATTCTTAACCGGAATACTTATGTACTGGTGATAGTAAATACAATTGCTTCCATTTCTAAACCAGCTTTTTAGGTATACATTTTAAATTATGGGTTATATGGATTTTTCATGTTTATTTCCCTTTCCATAGTTCTTTTAAAATTGTTTTTAAGGGGTTTATTTGGAGTCTCATTCTTTCTTTTTTTGTTTTTTTTTCCCTCCACAACTCTTCCCTCCCCTGCAAAAGTTGTAAAGTTCATTTTCAACATAGTATCTTGTACATCTCATTCTTAGAATGGGTCAACCTGTATCCTTATTTCAGCATTTTGTTATTTCCCTTCCTCTCCCCAAATTAGAAAAATGTATATACAAAATGCAGGGCACCAATGTCAAATACAGTGACAACAGGGGGAAGAACATACAAAAGAACCAAAAACATCACACAGTACATCATACGTACATTAAAAACAACAGCAACAAAGATAAAACCTCTTGTGTCCCTATCTTGGGGTTCATTTCGCTTAGCATCAGCTTATATGGTCATATGTACATAGCTTTTGACCTTTTCTGCTTGTCTCAGACCTATACTAGTTATTGCAGATAAGGGAAACCATGGGACCTATGTTTCTTTGGACCTAGCTTATTGCACTTAATATAATTTTTTCTAAGTCTTTCCATTTCCTAAAAAATTCTTTCTGATGGAGGCAAAGAAATCCAGTATATATATATATATATATATATATATGCGCACACAAACATATATACATCACATTGTCTTGACCCATTCATGTACTGAGGGGCATCTGGGTCGGTTCCATATATAGTTGTACTGGTTGGAGTCTCATTCTTTCTTGGCAGTGGCCCACTGCTCAGCTCTTCCTCTTGGTGGTGATGTGCATCCCTACCCTTTTCTTGATGAATTTCAGCGCCCATTTGTCCTTGGACACCTTAAGCAGCTCCATGGGACAAAGCTGCACACTTTGAAGATCATGTCCCACACAAATGTAATGTGCTAGCATGATTACGAGCCTGCTACTGTGGCTGTGCCTCAGCTTGCTCACATTCTTGGTTACTTTGTGTCCCTTGTTGAGGCCCACGGCCATGGGGTAGCACAGAGCCAAGGCTGCCATTTTCTAATGGCTGCTGCCTCTTTTTTAATTTTGTACTGAAAATGAAATAAAGGAATTTTCTCCTTTGCATCTGACAACAAATCTGAAATGCTGAAAGTTTGGTAATAGTAGTCTAGATCAGTAAATTAAATGTATTAACTAAATTCATGTTAAAAAAGACAAATATCATTAAAACCATTATTTTGTCTCTCTCTTTTTTTTTTCCACGGGGGTGATTCTGGGAATTAAACTCAGGGCCTGGCACTTACTCAGCCAGTGCTCTCCACTCAAGCCATTTATCCATCCCTCTTTTCGCTGGTTATTTTGAAGCTGGAATCTTGCAGAATTTTCTGCCTAGACTAGCTTCAATCTACCATCCTATGAATCCCAGCCTCTGGAGTATCCAGGATTACAGGCATGAGCTACTGGTGCCCAGCTATTTTCATTTTTTGTAGTTAGTAATTGAAGTCCTTGGAGCTACATGCTCTCAACTTAGAACTAGGCAGCTAGGAAGAATATTTTATATGCCAATGTCCTATAATCACCCCTAGTGTCTCTCTTATAACTCTTTCCTTTCTGAACTTTTGTGTTAAAAATTATTATTCAAATGACTTCAGAATATGTATTTCTTTGGGATTTAGGATTATGTGATTTTATTAGCAAATTGCCTTTTGGATTTAGAAAATGGATAAAGCAACAACAACTGTATCCCTGGGCTAGCTGATCATCTTCAGAATGGTAAATACCGTAAATCAAGAAAAAGAAACATATGTTAATATTGACTATTTAGCTCACTAAGAGAGTCTCAGCTTTCCAAATATAGCTTCCACAGGAATAACCACTGGAATAAAATTTAAAATTTAAATGCCACTTTCCTTTTAAAATTCATAATTTATATTGCTTATCAAATATTTTAAGGACAGAATTATGATTTCTCAGCTTACTGAAAATAGCATCAGTGCTTATTTGCCTACACAAACATTCTGTTTTCTTTGTAATGGGAAATCAGAATCACTCTCATACTCTATATAAATCTGTAAGTATGCAAATAAATCTAAAAGTCTATAAATATATAGAATTCTTTATATATGTCTTTAATAAAATAGGACAGCTTATTTTCTCCTCTTCCTTTGATATGTATGTGGGTATATATGCATTAACATGCTTTAGGATGACTGAATCCAACTAGTCACACAGAATTGTTGTTGTTGTGGGGCTTGAACAACGGGCCTAAGTGCTGTCCCTGAGCCTTTCAGCTCAAGGTGAGTGCTCTACCTCTTGAGCCACAATGCCACTTCCTGTTTTCTGGTGTTCTATTGGAGATAAGAGTTTCAAGGACATTCCTGCCCAGTGGGCTGTGATCTGTGAT